CCAAAACCCGCCGATCACGTCACTGGGCCCACTGCGATTAACTGGGCCTTAACCGATTCACCGGCTGCTTGCCCAATCGCCCCGGTAATCGGCCCTAAGTACTCTATTAGCGAATGCCTTGCTAATTGACACTCGAACTCCCACAAAACCGAGAGATATGTTATGTTTTGTATACATATATCTGTGCCAGAAGATCCCAAAAATCATACAAGAACATACCATACAGAACCGGGCAAATATGACAAACCAAGAACAAACAGACCCGAAAATGTGTTAAGACTTTGATGGCCAGCCATAAAACAAGATAAACAACAAGAGCCGATAACCCAAGAGAAACCTCTGAAATGGTTTTTTTCTTGAAATTTCCTCAAGGAAATGGAGCCGTGTACATTGGAGCCGAAACGAACTAAAATAACTGGGGAACAATAAAGACGACGTGGAGCGGGGAGTACTGAAAAGCGAGGTCAGAATTGCAACACGAATCAGATAAAGTTGTTGTTGGCACTATCAGCTGTAATGAGGATGATTACGATGATCGGGGCGCATGAGTGTGCCAGATAAAATGGCCAAAAGACTGGGGACGGAGCCGGCTGATAAGATCTCCCCCAAAAAGAAGACGAACCCATGGCAAAATGGATACACTCATCGCGTACGGTGCAGGTCGAAACCATAGGATCTTAAATATCATATTATTATATTCCATAAAGAAAATAGATGTATTATAAACCATAAGATCATTTCTATAAATTCACGATCCTTTTTGACAACTTCATTTTATTAAACTTAGTTTCATATATCCATTTAATGATTTTTAAACTGTTTTTTATAATAATATATGCCATCATCTAACAAAAAAAATGTTCCCTTCCATTTCGAACAATTTTACCTTTAAGCTTTTAACAGCATATTTCTTTATCTAAATTATACAATATAGTAAAAAATACCCTAAGAACATTTTCATCGACCCCAAGGTCACTGTATTAATCCACTACCCACAAAGCGTTTAACAAAACAAAACTGGGCATTGATTTGATTTATGGTAATGATTTAATTAATTCATTAATCAGTTGCGTTTGTTATTTATTTTGGCTTGTCACCATTAATAAAATAATCGCCATTCAAACGAATGTAGTTGGCAATAATGAAATTATGTCATTGCATTGAATTGAGGGTGTGTATTTTATTTCCAACGATAAGATAAGATAAGTGGTACGACTTGTTGTGGGAAGTCTTTCATTGATATAATAGGCTCAATTAAATGTATTTATAGATTAGATTTATTTGTTATAGAAACTGTTGTTTGGATTTTCTATTCACATTGTATGATTATTTATTTAAGAAATATAAATCGCCTTATGGAACTGCCAGCACTGTACTCTCTTGTGTTTTATATATATGTATTCATAAATGGGGATGATTCCACTGGCGTGCGTATCAAAATATAACCATAATAAAAATTGTTATAATGATGCATCATAAATCGCTCCGATTGCCCTCGGCAGAGGATCGTCGGAATGGGGATCGTCCGATTCTGATCCTCCCCAGATCGTTGGCGGCGGGTGGACGTGAATGTAAATGCCGATGTGGATGTGCATCTGAGGACCTACCTGAACTTCCCGTGATAATTTAGTATTCCTACACACTGCGTCGCAGACTTTTGCTCGCCACTGTCAATTCAGTGTAAATTTCAACTATTAAATGCCAATTTATGGGGCATAGCTTATAATTTTTTATTATCGCTTTTATAACACCTTCCGCCAGCGAACCGAAAAGCATGGGGTAGGGGGCGTGGCACCGCCGCATTTAGCAGGGCTTAACCCGGGTTCGCCCTGGACTGGACTCCTCCTCGAGGCTAGAGGCCCTTCCCGAACCGATCTGTGGCGTGAGAAGAGATTGAAAGAAGGAATTCGCAGATAAATCACACTAAATCATTTCACTCGACCGCCAGTTGCCAGTTGCAGTGCACGGCGCATGCGCGCATGCTGCAATGCATCGAGGCGACTTGCAACTCGAGATTTGCGATTTGCGACTGCCGATCGTCGACCAGAGAGCGGGAAACGGCAGACAGACAGTCGGTCAGACAGCCGTAACAAAGGCCACTGCAAGAGCTGCGAAATACAACAAAATATACCGTCCAGAAACATCAGATAGGGCGTGTCAACTTTGGAATACCCCGTTTTGTAGAGGCACCAAAAAACACTCCATACTTTGAATGGGAAATCCATAATTTAGTATATTAAAATAAAATACTAAACATTATTGAGTAGGATTATAATAGGTTAATGTCCCCTTGTTTAACTTTTCAATATCCTATATATCCTATCCCCATACATCCTGTTCGTATCCTATATATATCCTGAAATTGTTATTCAAACAAGTAGGTACCTCTGTACCAACAATATTTATAAATACCTATACCTAAATACCTATTTTTTTAAATTTATGATTATTGAAATGTACCTTTCAGAACTACATTCTATTACACTTAGATAAATTCCCACTATATAAGTATATGTGATCTTGATTTAGTTAACAATCCTCAATAAACAAAAAAAATTAAACTCTTTTTCTTAAATAATGTTAAAAAAATGTTAAATGTCCAATGTAAATAAGTTAAGTTAGGGGTTTACGTATAATTCAAAGTATAAGTTAAGAAAAAAAGGTTGTAATAATAGTGATTTAGTATAAAAATACTAAATATATTTAAATACCAAATCTATTGAATGACTTAGTATTCAGGAAATGTAACTTTGGGGTCTTACAACTTATCGCGGGGCATAGTGTCCCTGAAACCGGACATAACCCCCAAATCTGGCTGGCAATCGGTATCCGAAAACTTCAGCTACAACAACGACGAAAAAGAGTAAAAAGGTAAAGTTCGCTGCCATCGGCGGATTGTGCATTTCGAACGCCGGCGCGTACTAATCACTCGCATTGTTACACGATCACGCCATGGCATCACGTAGCCAAGGTGAAAGAAGGCCACGCCAGGGGCGTAGCGGGCGGGGGCATGGGCGGGGGGCGTGGCAGGGGGCGGGGCGCGGCCGGTTCGAGCGGGAGACAAATAGGCAGCAAATGTAACTGCACTCCGCGGATGGGAAACGTCCAAGTCCATGTCCACGTCCATCCATCCATCCATCTATCCATCCATCGACTCCAAACGGCAATTGGACTTTAATAACTGGGAAAATTCAAATCGATGGATGTAAATTAGTGGGAATCCGTCGGGGGTTTTTATCATTGGAAAGGAACATAATGGTATAGGATTTAATGTTTATTGCTAACCAGTTTATAAGGTATTCCTTAGAAGATGTGTTAACCCAGCTAATAAATAAATATTCTAGAATTATTTATTAACATCCTCTTCAAATAGAATATGCTAATGATACTTTGCACCATTTCATTTGACTATTTTTCTTGATATTTTTAAGGAACTACGAAAATATATGTGCACTATTGGTGTTAATTGGTGGAAAACCGTTGGTTCTATCAAATCTGAAAGTGAATTTTCATACATTATGAACTGTTATGATATATTTTCTTAAAAATATGTTTTCTCATAAAACAAATAAATATTACCAGGATCTTATGAGGGTTCTGTTAAAATTATATACTTACCTAAATTCATGGGATAATTTTATATCCATATTTTTTTTTAGAGAACAATTAATTACCGTTTCATTGGAATAGATTAACAGAATTTCCCCCTTCTTTGGAAATCAATTTTCCTTTATAGACTCATTTGGCTGCTAGGGTTCAAGCTTTTCCCATTGTTCTGGGGTCTGTTTACCCAAAAAGTTGAACATTTCGGTGGCCGAGAGACGAAAGACAAAAGGCCGCCAAGGCCAAGAAACTCGGCCATGAACCAATTCGCCGGACCATTGATAGATACATTTGTATCTTTTCGGCTGTTTACGTTGTGCTGAGGTCGTCAAGTTTAACAGTTGAAGGTCGGCGGCGGAGGCGTTTTAAAACGCTGGGAAAACGCGCACGCACAGTGGGCCGCATCGGCAGCCGAGGGGGGGATAAGTACATTAGCAGATTTATATCCGGCAACAATAAAAAGAACAACGCGACAACAACAAAGACTTGCTAAAGAGCTAATGACTCGGATAATGATTTCGATTTCGTTTTCAATTTCGATCGTTTGGCGTTTTTTTTTTGTCTGCCGCCTCGTCGCAGTTGTTTGCCTTTTCAATATTTCAGTTTTCAATTTTCTTTTTAATTCTTTTTTTTTTATTTATTTTTTTATTTGTTGGTGTTTCTGTGGGATTCGTGCGTCAATAATTAGATCATCTCCGCGCTGGTTGTTGTAGACGATTAGCGAAATCAAAAGGCATCAGCCCACAAAGAAAGCGGAACGACAAACACAAACATATAGACTATATGGGAAATTTCATTTCAATTTGTGCTTTGTTTTCCTTTCAGTGCTTATTTTATGCACCCATCGTCCATTAGGGCCCACAATGGGTGTCATGGAATTGGGATTCTTCTGGGGGGTCACTAATGAACCCGAGAATAAACAACATAAATCAAAACTTATAAATATAATATTTATTTTGAGACTTAACTTTTTTATGATCTGTAGTATACACGAAAAATATCTTACTTTTTACCTGCATTGGAATAGTGATTCTTCTAAGGGTTTTCTATTAAATCCACAAATATTATCCCTCATATCGAATTTTACAGATATACCATACATAAAGTGTTCAAATATTGATGATCTATAATAAAGGCAAGTTGTAACCTACCTTTTGGGTTTCTTACATAGTTTTTATAAAAATATATAAATAAAACATTTAATTTCAGATCGAAAACAATTATTTATGGTTTATAATCTAGAGAAAATATATCTTAAATTTCTATTACCTTGAATTACTGACTTGAACTTTTATTTAAAAGAAATAGTGACATCTTAAACTCTTTTCTTGCAGTGTTTCACAAACATCAAATCAGTTATTCATTTCCGAACTTTTCACTAGCTTAGAAAGCTTAGCAATCGAAATATTCTCTCTGTAAATAATAATATCTTTGATTTTTCTTACATTCAAGTATGAGTTTTGGATTGCGCCTGAAGTGCCGCGAACTACTGGCAGACTCCTTGAGGATTGGCCAGTTGACCGAGGGATGCGGGGATCCTGATGACTTGGCTGCCCAGCTGGAGGAAGCCATCTACGAGGAGCTGAGGTGTTCGAATGATAAGTACAAGAATCGCATCCGTTTGCTGCTATGCAATCTGCGCGATCCGAAGAATCCCGGGCTGCGCGATAAGTTCCTGCGCGGATTGGTGACCCCGAATCAGCTGGCCAGGATGTCCCTTGAGGAGATGGAAAGAAATTACCTGGAGCAGATTCCCCAGAAGTTTACCCAGGAGGCGATCAACCAGACCCAAATGCCCAAGGTCCAGGGCACCAAGAAGAACCAGTTCAAGTCCAATCGTGCATCCAGTTGCAAAAAGATGAGCCGATGGTCACCTTTGTAATCTGCAACCAGTGCGGCAACCGATGGAAGGTTTTAAAGAACAGGGATCCAATCCCAAGGAAATGGCGGAATTCCTTTGATCAACACCCAAACAAGATCTCAAAACGAATGATATTTTATTAATAAAATAAAAAAACTCATTAAAATCGTAAAGCTAAGAATATTCCATCTATATTCCACAATAACCATTGTCAATTGTACGATAAGATAGAAAATTCCAAATCTAAGGTAAAACAAGTTTTTGTTATTATTAGTTAATTAAATCTTTAGTTAACTTCCTAACTTAAATAATAATAATAAAATATATTAAATAATTATTGATTTAGTATCTGAAATCCTTAGTATTTGTATTTAAAATGTAATATTATATTACATATTATATTATAACAAAGAAGAATTCTACCTCATTAAATTTTAGATATGAGTACTTTAGTAAATCTTAATTTTATTAAAGAAATGTAGATATTTTAACCCCTTTCAAATGCTAATAAAAAAATATAAAATAATAAAATATATTAATAATAAAAAATATATAATGTATAGCTATATATTAAAATATTTATGTAATATGTATATAATTTTGAATCATAGTTGAAAGTAGCTAAAATTATATTTTATAGGGTATCACCGGGTTCATAATTTTCCCATCTAATTATCCTTCTTTGTTCGCCTTGGAAAGCAGATAATACAGCTAAGAAAGAAAGAAATTTCGGTTTTATAAACATTCATAAATATGTGCTTGTATAAAAAACGAGAAGCGTAAATTTAATGAAATTTTCGACTATTAGTTAGCTCTTTAGACTTTAATGAATCATGCGGTAGGATGATCTCGGGAGTGGGTGAGATGAAATCGGATGGAAATGGGATGTGATATGGAATGGAATGGGATTCGATATAGATATAAAGCGTGGGCCGTTCCGGAGTGCAGACAAATTATAGACGTTAAAGCATTTGGTTTATGGCCACATTAATGGCATTGACTCGGATTGGATGGGACTGGTAATGGGATTGGGACTCAGAATTGGGATGACGACGGCGATGGCGACTAGGTGGGCTCCGTTGAGAACGGTCTCTCTAGCCAGAGATAGCCAAATTAATTAATATCCGCCGTCGTAAACACGGCGCAAAATGCAAAAGCGGATCAAGTAAATCGCATTAATTGGCCATTTGGCCAAAAAACCATTAAAAAGAGCTCAGAGCCCCCGAATAAACAAAGTGGAAATGCGCCTTTCCCAGGCTTCCTTTCGGTTTCGTACTTTTTTTTTTTTTGTTTTAATGTTCGTCTGGCGCCGATCATCATTTTCCCCAAACAAAATCGCCTATTTGTTTTTTCGGTTTCGCTGCTTTTTTTTTTTGGATTTTATTTATTTTTTTGTTTGGCTCTTTGGCTTTTGTGTGTTTTAGCCACCAGTTCGAAATGTCGCTCAAAAATTGACGACCCTGAAGGCGCCGGCGCCAGCGACAAGTGCGACCACAAAGGTGGTGGAAAATCGGAAAAATCGGAAAAATTGTGGGGTTACGAGGGGCTGGTGGTCGCCAAGGGGGTCTTGAGATTGGCATGCAGACGTGCGGTGCTTTCAAGTGCCATATTTGATGTATATTGCTGGATTATATGGCCAAACGACGAAATGGATTTTGGCTTTAAGGCATTAGCAGCCGGGCACAAAAATGGATGGCTGACATCGACATGGACATGGAAATTGAAATGGACATGGACATTGGTATCGATCATAAAATGCGATCGCCAAAAACCAGATCAGTTCAAAGAGATGCAAGTGCTCTATAAAATCTATATGTAAGCCCGATGGGATCGAACAAGTTCCGACGACGGCATCTTTCTTGTGTTTGGCATTAAGTATGGGATCTTGGGGATCAGTTTCAGGTAGAATAAAAGCTATACAAGAATATTTTTTCATCGACAAGGGGATTAGCTCCTCTGTTTGGGATATATTTTTAAGACATGCCTTAGTAAGTACTAATCAAAGGGGTTTACTTAAAGGAACATAATAAAATATTTTTATTTGAGATTTATACGATCAGAATTCTGGGATCAGGGATATATATTGATAGCATGTATGTATAGCACTTATAAATATTGTTCAATAGGGCTGTACTTAAAAGTATATAGTAAAATATTTTTATTTGAAAATTTACGATCGAAGTTTTGGAATCAAGGCATTAAGGAGGAATTGGGAATATATATCTTAAAGCTATATAATTAAAAGTTCTTCTTGAACTATAATACAACCAAAATTCAGATATCAGTGCACTAAAACCAAAGTCAATCTGGGTTATATCAGTAGATCATAAAGTATATCATTCCAGGACATGGTATAATTGATTATTATATTTTTATTGCATGGCCACCCACTTGCAGGACCTGGCCAAAAATCCCTGATCCCGCTGATCCCAGAGTTCAGGGGTTACAACAGGTAGAGGATGGCCGAATCAAGCGGAAATTCCCATCATATAACCGATGCCGAGGTGCGAAAACAGATGCAGCCTCATAAAAGGGGCGCAGATAAGGTCGCGGTTGCGTGGGAAAAGCCCAAGTCCATCCAACAGGACGAACCTGTGCGGTTGGCGCATCATTGCCGCCATATCGTATCCTATACACCCATCTACCTAGCCATATATAGATATCCTTGTGCAAGGATAAGGCGACCAACAGGGTAGGGGGATCATAAAACGATGTCGCTTTTGTTTATGCTGCTTATTTAAATTGGCTTCTTGGCGGGCGTTGCGACCTGGTAGTCCGGATTCTCCGTCCAGGATTGGTAAAACTACCTGCCCTGGGAATTCCCAATCGCCCTAACCCATATGGCCACCGATGCGTGAGAATGCTCCGTCCGATTCTAGATCATCGTGGGTACTCGCTGACAATCGGGTTATTGTTGTCCTGGTCCTCGATTTTCTGGAACTGTTCGACCACTGGGTTTTTCCGGCCACATCGTGCGTCATCTGGTGGCAGGACGGGCGAGGAGGCACTTGCCCCTGGCACAACCACCCACCCCGTCCAGGATTACGACAACGGACGGCACCTTGTACCTTCTGTGGAAGTGCTGAATCGGAGAATCACCACGACGACCTCTCAACCTTCCAACCTCTCCTGGCCATTGATTGATTCGTCCGCGTGTGTGTTTGCATACTTGATGAATTGTCTCGATGATTGGGAACTACACTATGAAAATTCTGCGAAAGGCAAGAAATGCTTGGGGATATTCATCGATGATTCAGCATCAATGAGAACATTTCTGGCATATTTATTTTATACATAGAGTTTATTAAACAAATGTCGAAAAGTTGCGAATTTTAAAATTACAAATATTCCATATATTCTTTGATTCGGGATTCTAAAATTGTATAAAATGAATATAACTTGATCTTAAATTACAATTATATATTATTAAAAGGAACTTTTTTCACTTAATACTTTAATGATATTAGTATTTTTAGTATCTAAGGGAACACTTTATAAGGATTTATATTTTATAACTTTAGGATTTCAGTAATCTGAAATATTTAAGCCACTCTTAAGGATGATTTATTTTATTATTACAGAGGGTCTTTATTTAACACCTTTTTCTTCCAGTGCAGTCGAGTGCCAACGCTGCATTCATATTTTATGGTCTTGATTTTGATTTATTTGTGGTTCGATTGTCAATCGGACGGTGATGATGATTAATTGCGACGGTGAATGCCAATTGTCGCCATTGGCTTCGAACTCGGTCCAAGACCAAGACCCCTGGTCCCTCCCAGACCTCCGTTCCCAGTCACCGGTTTCGGATTCGGATTCGGTATCCATTTCCATCTCCACCCTCGGCCATTTATTTGTGGGCGCGTGCTGTGGGGACTCCGAGATCAGAGATCCGAGAGATCCGAGAACAGGCCACACCCGCATTTGCATCAACAAATTAGCCGGTTAAAACATGTAAATCACGTGTGGCCACGCCCCGGGATTCCCCTCTGGCCCCTCAAGAACCTCCTATAAAAACACCCAGGGGAATACTTGGAATACCTTTGATCTCTGGAATGTGGATTACCATGCTGACCTGTGCACGACCATCGATCATCGGCCTCAATATGATATATGGTTTCCCTCCTATATTTTGACACTGATGGCGAATATTATGAATACAAATTATGGTGCCAGTTGCATTTCCTTTAATGTAAATTTCATTTTTTGCAAATATACCCATTCCTATTTAAAGAACTGCTTAAAAACCCATCGATAACTCTGAATATACGATCACAAGAGCCAAGATCAGGTCGGAAACGAATATAGTATGGTGAATTAGGATAGCAACGGCATTTGCCCATCCATCCAACTTGCCGGAAGTCTTTCAACCAGTGATCTCATCCCATCCCATCGATAAACATCGGGAACGATCGATGCATAACTCAAGTGTCTTCGATTGGGGATGGCAATTGGGGGAAAAGTGGGGCCTCGTCATTTTCCTTGATTGACAAACGATCGGGGCGATAAATGCTCGAATGGGTATCGATAAATTTGCATTCGGCAGCGACCTTGAGTGGGTGGTGGGCCTGTGCTGCCCGCACTTATGAAAATAAATTGCATAATCGTTGGCTGACAACTAGAAAATCGAACAGAAGAGCTATTAACCTTCAGTCCGTCCCCCCTCGATTCTACATTTTCATTTTTTTTATGCGTCATTGGCGATGACGCCAATGGTGGTTCGGTGGTTTGGGAGATCGGTGGATCGGTATATCGGTGGTGGACTTGGACACACCCACCCTTGGCCAATTACGCGAGTGCCACTCCCCCCTTTCACCCGCCCATTTTCCCCCTCTGGTTCGGCCTTTGTTTTTCTCCCCCCCATTTTTTTTTTATTTTTGTTGCTTTGTATTTTCATTTCAATTAATCAAAATTTGCGCTTCCGTTTCAAATTTTTTTTGCCCTGGGCGGCGGGACAGGAAGCAGCGGGTGGCGAGAGCTCCATTAATTGACGAGCTTCGGCTTGTGTAAATTTACAAGTGCACTTCTATCTCAATAAATTATCAACGCTTTCAGGTGCGTAGTTGGGCATAAAAAGGGGTTAACTTTTAGGGTAATTGAAAAA